GAATTCATAGAATTCAAATAAAAAAAGTTCATCGAATTTGGTTAGATAGTTGTCAAGATATCTTTGCTCAAAGTTTTTAAAAAAATTTTGGCGCAGCTTTTATTTTGATGGACGTTTTGATTTTTCTCTAACTTTGAATGAAGATATCTTGACAACCACATGATCAAATTCAATGAACTTTTTTTTATTTGAATTCTATGGATTCATAGAATTCAAATAAAAAAAAATTCATCGAATTTGGTCTGGTGGTTATGGAGATATCTTCGCTCAATGTTAGTAAAAAATCAAAACGTCCATCAAAATAAAAGCTGCGCCAAAGTTTTTTTAAAACTTTAAGCGAAGATATCTTGACAACTATCTGACTAAATTCGATGAACTTTTTTTATTTGAATTCTATGAATTCATAGAATTCAAATAAAAAAAGTTCATCGAATTTGGTTAGATAGTTGTCAAGATATCTTTGCTCAAAGTTTTAAAAAAAATTTTGGCGCAGCTTTTATGATAGATGTTTTGATTTTTCACTAACTTTGAGCGAAGATATCTCCATAACCACCAGACTAAATTCGATGAATTTTTTTTTATTTGAATTCTATGGACTCATAGAATTCAAATAAAAAAAATTCATCGAATTTGGTCTGGTGGTTATGGAGATATCTTCGCTCAAAGTTAGTGAAAAATCAAAATGTCTATCAAAATAAAAAGCTGCGCCAAAGTTTTTTTAAAACTTTGAGCGAAGATATCCTGACAACTATCTGACTAAATTCGATGAACTTTTTTTTATTTGAATTCTATGAATTCATAGAATTCAAATAAAAAAAAGTTCATCGAATTTGGTTAGATAGTTGTCAAGATATCTTTGCTCAAAGTTTTTAAAAAAATTTTGGCACAGCTTTTATTTTGATAGTCGTTTTGGTTTTTCACTAACTTTGAGCGAAGATATCTCCATAACCACCAGACTAAATTTGATGAATTTTTTTTTTATTTGAATTCTACGAGTCCATAGAATTCAAATAAAAAAAAAATTCATCGAATTTAGTCTGGTGGATGTGGAGATATCTTCGTTCAAAATTTTTTTTTAAAAATTGGTGTAGCTTCTTTTTGGTAGTTGTTTTGATTTTTTCTAACTTTGAGCGAAGATATCTTCACAACTACCAGACCAAATTCGATGAATTTTTTTTTATTTCAATTCTATTGATTTATGAATTCGAATAAAAAAAAGTTTATTGAATTTGATTAGCTGGTTGCCGAAATATTTTAATTTTATTTTAAAAATTTTTATTTTTTTGTTTTATTTGTGTTATATAGTACGGAACCACTCCAGAGGGGCCGGGTCCGGGCTGGGGGGTGATTAGCAAATATGGGGGGTGGAAATAGCAATACTCTTTCTATTTTTATAATGAAAAAATTAAAAAGTCAAATCCGGCCGGAATTTAGTAAACAATTTTGTAATGCGGGCCAAAATTTCGAAGATCACCGGCCGTTAGCCAATCAAAATCGAGGATCATCCGCACATTTTTTGTGCGGCACCTAGGTTTAATGGGGGCACTGTCTCTGCTAAACAATATAACAATGTTTAAATTTAAATTGATCCCTTCCCCACTTCGTTTAAACTTCATAAGGGAACGTTAAACGAAATAACTTCAAAAGGCCTTAATAAGAGATCGATTTCAAAAGCGCAACACGTCAATAAAAGCTTTATCATGTAGAAAACTTAATCAGAAGATAATATTTTTGTTTGTACATCATACGGCTTAAACAAATGCTAAATGCAACTTTATCAACTCTAAGTTCTGATATGTGTTATTATCATCATGATTTTTTGTTATTTTCCCGTTCGGTTACCAGTTATATTTTTCAAGTTAATAATGGCAGAATCAAATTTTTGTTTAGTATTATTTGCTACATCTGAAACTGAATTATGAATTTTCATAAGTTCAGGTGATCGTTTTTCATATTCGCAAAGTTTAGCCATCATGTTACGAGATGTTTGTGGAAGGAAGTAATACGAAGATACTATAGTAAATAATACAGGACTAGCGATACGAACAAGTATATTACCTAAATTAATTTAAAGTTTTAAATTTAAGTTCTATGTAAATTAAAATATATACCGGTAAATTGATAAAAAAAAAAATAAATTTATAACACACTTTTTCTTGCTGCAAGGCTTCCGGCTAATCCCGCAACGACAACGTATAGAACATCAGGCATTAAACGTTCATTTGGTGAGATTATTCCTTTTATTTCCCCTTTTTATAGAAATGAATTAAAACGCCCATCAAATAAATAACAATAAATAATAATAATAATAATAATAATAATAATAATAATAATAATAATAATAATAATAATAACCGATACAAACTTTCGGTGGTTTGTTCAATATCAATCCATTGGTCAGTAACATTTCGGATATGTTGCTAAATTGAGACCAATAAAATAATAATAGTTTATTAATTGACATTACCCTTAGACAAAAAATATACAAACATAAATTTGTCAATATATACTTCTAAATCACTAATAGCTTGTGAAACTCGAAGCCTCGTATGTTTAATTCCTTGTTCCAATCTCGTAGGTGTTTTAACTATTATTATTTCTGGTTTTGGATCATCGTAGATTTTGAGCTAAATTAATTACAATTATCAAATCATTTAACTGTATTAAACTATAGAATAAAGGATTTATGACATTTATGATAATAATCCATTTGTAATACCTTTTGTTTTTGCTCTTCGGCATATACTACCGGTACATTTTTTATCTTGCTTAAAGCAGCAGATCCTACCACAAGCCCAGCTACTCCTTTTGAGAAGGTGGTCTATTTTTAAACATTAAATACTACTATTTTACAGCATATATATAGGTTTTATCCACAAGGCGAGCTTTTCGAAATATCCTTTACCTTTAAAATACGAAGCATGGGCTTAAATCGGTTCATTAAAAAAAAAAAAAAATTACACGTGGATCTATGCATTTATATGTATTTTTAAAACCTATCAGATATGGGCCTATATGTACCTCTACGCAGAAGCGTACCCTAAAACTTTTTGACAATGCAATTATCTGACAGGCATTTTTTTTAATAATGCCAAATGGCATGCCTCAGTAGGCCCAGGCTAATAATTAGACGATAATCTAATGGATTTGATGCTCTAAATCAAAAAAAATTAATAAGGGGTTTAACCTAAATTTGGTGACTCTATTCAGGGCCCAATATACGCCGATTAGTCCATATGATGATATAAAATGACATTTTTTTATTTTGCTTCGGTAACAAAATAAATATGCCTCCCCTACCTATAAATCTTACCGCGGTTCCAATCGCTTTCATAAATGCTGTATTAAAAAATGAGAATGAAGGTAACGATCGTATCACAAATTCTAGCAAAGCTCAGCAAAACAAATTGCTGACGTCCTCTGCCGAGAAAGAGGTTATTTTCGCGTGTATTCAAAGAATTGATGACAAAATTCGTGACATTAAGGTTCTCTTTTAATATAAACCAATCAGAATTACTTAAGACTATCGGCTTAAAGTTCAATTTTCATAATATATTTTAATTTTTGTCTTTATTCTTCGTAGGCTGAAGTATACAGAATAATTCTCAATCGACAAGATATATTCATTAGGCTTTATAATGAATCTATTTTCTTGCGCGATAAGATCGATACTATTTTCACAGAAATCGATAATGTATCTCGAGAGATCAATGATTCCGAGGTATTTTAATTATAATAATAGAAAATTTTCATATATATATTTGAATAACCAATAATTTGAAAATATCACAAGTACAGGTTGGAATGAAACCCAAACTCATCGCAGCATTACAAGAGAATCGAATAATAATGCAGGAAGTTCATAGTACTAGATATGTGGTTGAGACTTTAGAATACTTGATTGAGGTGTGTTTTATACCTTATTTTAAGTAATGCTTGAGTTCAGCTTCAATGTGTAAAAGATCCAACTGTTCGTTATTCTTATAAGGTACAAAATTCTGCTAAACGTTTTCAAGAATATTTAGCCCAAGGTCGAATAGAAGAAGCTGCCGCTTCAATTACACATATGGTATGATTAACAATATTTTTAAACCGCATTAATTTTACAATAAACTGATATCAAATATTGTCCTTTAGGATAGATTATTGGAGTCTCCACCTATACAAACAGATCAAAAAATCCATATTTTTGAAAAATTAAAGGTTAGTACGGAATCTTTGGATGAACATATAAGATATCTCGCAATACGTACAAAAGTTAATATTAGGGAAAATTATATATACTACTCTGAATATTCAAAAAACTATTTGAAATATGTATAGTCATTATAAATTGATTCCAAACCAATAGAAGTGAAAACTATCTTGTAACACTTTCCTTGCGTTAATATTCAGGAGCAATTGGCAACCATGAAAGAAACACTAGATCAAAATCTTGATGATCTTTTAACTGAATCAATTTCTTTTCAAAAACTTGGTGAAGATGATACTAGTGGTGTTAGCCTTACAATCTTGTCTTCTGTACAAAGTCAGTCATACTCATTTATTTAAATTATTATAATGAATACAATCTTCCTCTTGTTTACATACATATATATATTATTTCGTTCGGGTTAGATTCAGATTCACCAACACTTTTAACGTCCGTTTTTACTTCTCTCTCGGAAATTGGCTCGATTAATATGCAATTATCAAGGCTGAAAAAAAACGTAATGAAATATCTTATTATTCCATTATTGAAAAATCGAGACTCATTTAGAGCGTCATTCAGGGTTGTTGATGTCAAATCCATGTTATACATTGGTCCAAATTTGGACGACACAAACATAATTGATAAAAACCAAGGTGACCTTGATACATTTAGTTTTGTTATTGTTCATTTAATCTCGTTTTATGAATTAATATTTATTAATAATTTCTCAGATGGTGTATTTACACATCTTATTGCTGTCTTCAGATTCATCTATACGTTTATATTTGGTGGCCTTGATCCAGTGAAAAAAGAGATTGTGATATCGCCATTTGCCACTCAATATGCTTCTACATTCGGAAAGTTTATTTCTCATGATTTACGTGATGCTGTAATTAATGAGTATTTGTCGTATGCAATACCAATGGAGACCAGTGAATTCAAACAGTTTGAACAAGTTGCAGATGCCGTGAAACGTTTTCAAGCAGAAATGCGTCGAATGGGATTCATGAGATCAACTAATGGGGAAGAGGGAGAAGAAAGAACTCTAGGTGCATACGTAGCAAAAGTAGATATACATTTTACAATTAAAAAGCGGGACAAATTGCTGGAAGTTGGACGGAACATCATGTTAGACAATATATTTGATAGCTTAATAATTACTGAGGATTCCAATGACGTCAATGAGAATAGCAACAGAGAGATCAATGATGGTTCAGTTGAAAATAATTCAAGAGTAGAAAACAATTTAGAACTAAATCAAATAAATCATCAAAGTTATGAAGATGAATCTATTAATTCCACACAAGATAATAATCCTAATGAAGGATGGGAGGTTGATTGGAACGAAGCTTGGGATAATGACGACAATTGGGATAGTACCAACAAACAAAATGAGTTATCTAGAGAAACTAATGCCCATGATTCAGAGGTGGTCAAAGAACCAGAAAAATACTCTATTTCAGTCAAATCTAAGCCGCTAATAGATCTGACAATCAGCACTTTGAACGAAGCACGAAACCTAAATGAAAAGAGGTAATCTTTCTTAACATAAATATTTATATTCCTAATCCACTATGTATTCTTACTTAACCCCCAAATAACTTTATAATTAGTGGAATACGCCTATATAACGCAACGCTTGATCTTTTTGATCTGTATCGTGCCATTATGCCGGTTTATCACTCGAATAGTTTTACTAATGTACCTACTCTGGCTATGTTGTTCCATAATGATTGTATTTGGCTAGCGGATCAACTCATAATTATTCAAGATCAGTTTATGAACAGCTTATTATCACAAGAAAATAATGAATCAGAAAACTTTGAATCTAAAATATTATATGATGATGTGGCAAACAAATTACGGGATTTAGGAAACGAATGGTATGATATTCAACTAGTAAGTAAATTTTATTAAAGTGAAGTTTGGTCCACTACTCTAAGACGATTATTTGATTTAATTTATTCCTGTCACAAGGAAAAACAAAAATCAGTTCTTAAAGAAATTTTGGACGAAATGGATGGTGTGCAACTAACGGCAAATGAAGAACGATTTGAAACTTGTCAACAAACGATGAACAAAGTGATGTATACCATAAAACACCTATCAAAAATTTGGAAGGTTAGCACCTTTACCATCTATTACCACTGAATTTAGTTTGATATTTGGTTTAAACTGCATCATTATATTTTCAGGATGTGTTGCGACCCTCGGAATATTACATTATATTAGGCGCTTTGATAAATTCAGTATTAACTATTATGATCGAGAATTTAGAGGATCTATATGACATTTCCGCAGAAGAATCTCATCAATTAAATTTAATATATTCGATGCTTTTCCCATTGGAAGAAATATTCAGGAAGAATGGGGTAAATTGAATATTTTAATTATTTTCACCAGTAAATTATAAGTTTATTGACATCCTTTTTCATCATTGATAGCCAAATAAAATCGAAAATCATGTTAAATATTGGAAAAAATTCTGCTATATAACCGATATACTCGAATTTTCTTTAGCTAATATTATGGACAGATTCCGCTCTGCTGAACTAAATTGTTTTACTAGTAAAGAATTGGAAGGTCTCATATGTGCATTATTTGCAGATACTACATTAAGAGAACAAAGTTTACAGGAGATTAGACGCGGGCATCCTGTTCCGGAAAATTAATTGATTTATTATGTTAAATTGTGTTAAAGATTGTATTTAAACCCTTTACATTTTTAATAAAAGTAATAATATAATTATCTATGGAATTTATCTGCTTTTAAAACGCAAAAATGTTTATAATAAATTTGTAATGTTTATTATATAACACGGGGTGTTCGAACAAAATCAAACCAATTTGCATAAAACAAAAATTAAATATTACCTAATGTTAGAGTAAGGGTGAAAGATATTACAGTATTATATACCAAGATTTTATATATAAGAGAATTTTTTTTAAATTTTCAAGAAAATCATTGGAAATGTATTTCATTTACAGTCAATTTTAAAGTATGTGTTATATTAATTTGTGCAAGTAATACAAACCTCTAAAAAGGAAATAAACAGAAATTAACAGCATCAGAATATAGCAGTCAGGAAATATGTTATATATAGTAATACAGAGAGACCTCTCTAAATGCACTCTCTATAAATGCACCCTCTATGTAAAATTTCTTTAAATACACAGTTTAGTCTGGTCCCAGCTTATAATAGCATTATATATTTTGCTCTCTATAAATGCACACCCTCTCTAAGTGCATATTTTTAAAATTTTTTACTATGGTCCCGAGGGGGTGCATTTAGAGAGGTCCCTCTGTATATGAGTTTTTTTTTACGTATAATAAAAAAATATATAAATTTACTATAAACTTTAAGCTTAATATTTATTTCAACTTACAAATTAACTTATTTTTAAATTTTAGGATTAAGTATATTGAAAATAGTAGAATAAGATAACTTAAATAATATTTTAAAATTTTGTAAAAATTTTAGATTTTACTAATAAATTTTTTTTAAAAACAAATTTTAATTTTAAAACTGCAATTATATATAAAAAATTATATGCTAAACAAACTTATTTAAAAAGTGAAAATAGATTATATTAGTAAAAAAATAAGTTTACCATATACAAATGATAAATTTTTTAGTTTTTTATATATAACTTTTTTTTGTACCAAGACATAAAATAAGTTGTCTTAGTATAAAAAAAGATTATACTATATATTATTTATATATAGCAAACTTATCTTTTTACTAATATAATCTATTTTTGCTTTCTAAATAAGTTTGTTTAGTATAAATTTTATATATAATTGCAGTTTTAAAATTAGCAAAATTACGCAGAGGACCAGGTTAATGACGGCCAGACCCAACAAACAGGACAGGCTATGGTATTCTGCGCAGCTGTGAGAGCCGAGCATACGGCGAGCGATTCTATAGAAGGACCCCAAAATGTCTCAGTTTCCATTTCATC